TAGTTGGGTAGGCCTGATTACTACATGTATAAATCTAAATAAAAAACGTCTATTTCGGATTCCTCCTATACATGTATGTACGTCAGAGAAGATAAAACAGTATCATGCTTCATAAGATTGCAATCAACTATTTCTTTGGTATGTTTTTTGATAAGTCATTCAGTTACTAAGCTCAGAAGTTTTAGGCAGGAGTTTTGTTAGAGCTCCTTGATATTAGTAGGCCTACATGTAAGTTCAATCATTAGTTAGTTGGTCGGTTCTGTTGTCCACTGATTAGTAAGTTACATGTAGTAAGCCAGTAAACGAGTAAATACGTTAGCCAGTGAGTGGGTGCATGAGGGAAATCATTACTTTTACTTTTTCTACAGTAAGGTGGTGTACCAACGATACTCCGGTGGTTACCAATACAACACACTCAGTGAACCCCGTCACGACAGAGCTTGGGCTACGTCCAAAGCCAACAATGACGCCACCTATCGTAGGGCAATTCTGGCCGCTAAAGACGCGTTGTGTGGCTACAGGTCAGATCCTACTGGCTGCGCAACAGACTACTGCGCGTACGATCCTTGCTCGGCGACAAGATCTAATCGTTACTGGGACGTCTACAATAAGAGGAAGATCGGGAACCATTGGTTTGTTTGCCGCAGCCCAAAGTGAGGTTAAGAAAAAAATGAGAAGAATCTGCGTTCTCATCAAATAACGTTGCAAATATGCTTTATGCAAGCTTTAAATAAACCCTTGTGTGCAGGCCTACTGTAACTGTGTTTAAGAATAGCTGACTGGGCAAAACTTGAGAATGAAATTCCTTCACTTTCGGAGTAATTGCTGTTATATGCATATGCGGTTAAATTCTCTTTTCAATGTAGGTAAAATGAACTTCAAGCACAATGACAGTTGGTAATAAAACTAAACATCAGCACCCCCAACCGCCATCCCTGGTTAATGCAAAATAAAAATGCACATAGGAGATTATGAAATAAATGGCCATCCTCTGTACTCTTTACTGTTGTTTATATTAGCTTCAGATTGCACAGACAGCTAGCAATTGCCATCAACGGTACATTCTTTCTATTGTAGGAAAACGGTCCATAAAAACGGGAGTTAATGTTGTACTCAATGCAGACACTACAGTTCTTGTATCTTTCGCATTAAAAAGGGGGTTTAAAAAGCACCATCTTTCCAAATAAATGACCTTTTGATAACAACGAATCCCTCTCCAGCTTCTACACCCACAAGTTGTACATGTACACCGTAGTCATGCTAACTCCTGAATAAATAATTCTGCGTGATCAGTCTCACACTGAGCCGCTCATTTACAGTGTAATAAGTACATTCCTAATCAAACGTTTTTTCCCATTTTTTCATATCGCTCTTTCAGTCTTGCTTCAAACCGCTAAGTGCGTTCATAATTATTTTTTCATTATTTAATACCGTGCCATCGGTCTTGCCCTACCCCTGTAAATGCCATTTTGCTACTCGCTTTATTATAGCAAATCGGCCCCTTTCTGGGCCCTGCAAGTCCTACCAATAGACAACTTGGACGGATCCAATAAAAATCCAAGAATCAAGTCTTTGGATTCTGTGTTTTGAAGGAATTATATTTTTTCTGATAGGGGACTTAAAGTAAACCTTATATACCAGCACGTTTTCATACAGTGTACATGTAGATGCATCATATTTCTGGCAGTCATGCATACATCACAAGCTTTCTTTTTGACGAAAATAATTAATCTCTCTCTCTCTCTCTCTCTCTCTCTAAATGATAAAATGACACCTATTAAATGTAGGATGATAAAACTGATAGATGCGTCTCCGTTGTCTAAATGTCGGGTCACAGCTGTCGATGAGTACCCCCTCCCCGTACATTTCTTCAAATATGCTTTTCAATTTACTGCATATTAATATAATCTGCATAAGAGAATCAAAGTGGATTTGGGACCCTCCCTTCTTCCCAGACAAAACAGCGCAGTCATATCAAGCATTCTCTTTGAAATGCTTAAAATGGAAACAAAATTCTTGTTTGCATTACCCAATCCTTAAAAAGATTTAGATTTCACAGTTCTTCGCCCTACTTTTGAGGTGACTGTATTCTACGTGTAGATAAAGTCAAATTTCATCAAGCATGAAACAAATTTTAAAATATTACACCCATGTCTGTTGAAGAACAACAACGAAATCCATGTGTTCAAGTTCACAATGTTATCAGGAGACGTGACAATCTTTGGCTTACACCCTGACAGCGGTCTCAGGAAATCGATCTGCAAGGCTATGTCACTGCTAATCATCACGATTGGCCCACACATTTCTTTATGAACCGCGACCGACGAGAACATTATCTTCAAACTGGGTTTTAAGCTGTCATAGGACAGAAAGAAAGCTCCCATCTTTTCGTTATGTCAATATTTCAAGTTTTTTTCCTCTGCATATTTCTTCATTTTGGCAGAGGACAGAACATTCCGTCAAGTAACCAAAATCAGTTTTCTACACTCCTCGAGTTACTGAAGTTACAAGTTCAAATCGAGAAAGCCAGTGATGTTCTCCACAAGGAATGCCCAACGCTGTTCCAGCAGCCAGACGTCTCCAGCATTTTAAACCCAGTCATAGGTAGGCTTACACCTGTTAAGTGTCTCTCTCTCCCTCTCTCTCTCTCTCTCTCTCTCTCTCTCTCTGTGTGTGTGTGTGTGTGTGTGTGTGTGTGTGTGTGAAATTATGATGCCTGATGTTTTAGTACTGGCAAGCTGGATCCGTCATTCCGAAATCATGCATGTTTAAAGGTATTAAAATTATTATTCTTTTATTTTCATATGTTAGCCATTGGAAGAAATTCAGTCCAATAAAAGTACCAATGAAAATTGAACAGATCTGATGAAGTGTCAGTATAACTTAATACATTTTTGTTTAATTATTTGAATATAGATACATGTAGCAGATTTTAGTTTTATTACATTTTGACATAAAAGGCACTTGGGATTAACTTTGTGTCTGGTGTTGTGTTTTGTAATTTCGTAATAAAGATTTAAATGATATTTTTTTAGATCGAAGGAAATCTAAATTATACTTTATCTTGCATGCGTAGGAAAAAGACAGCTGTACTTTGGCGCGTCATCGGAGGAGATAGAATTTAGGACCAACCTTGCTAAGCACACCCTAGATTTCTTGACGCAAAGTTACTTGAAGTGCAAAGCCGGGTCACTGAAAGTCACGACACCAGGTAAGGTAACATAAGATATCATGAATCCGTTTTAAAGGAGCCAAAATCGTTAAGGGTATCAGAACACCTTCTGTTTATTATATTACAAGAGGTGGATCCCGTTTCCATCTTTTAAATGTAAGTGAAATTTGATACTTAATTTATTAACACTTCTACCTCTGGGTAAAATTGATATGCATAAGCTTAGAATTTCAATTATACATGTACGATGACTTGCATTTTCGAGGTTAGCTTCAATTTTAGTTGACGTACAATGTATTCAATATGTTAAACGACAGCGGACAATTTGGGTTTCAGCATAGCGACATTCAGTTTTGACATCGTCCTAGATATTATGAAATAAATGGACCAAATTCTTGATTTCTTAATATTTGTCGCCGCTTTTAGTTCCCGATCCATGTGACAGTCAACCGTGTAAAAATAACGGGACGTGCTCGGCCAGCGGGGATACTGCTATCTGCGCCTGTCTGCCTGGGTTTTCCGGTACCACGTGTGACATACCTGTAGGTGGGTGCACGTGGACTAGTATGACGTCACAGTGACAATGGTTCTACGTAGATTAGAACGGATGAGTTAAATTATCTATAGACTCTACATCTATACTTAAAACGACTTTAACTTAATGATTTAACAGCAATTTATTGCTATGGGTCATTTGGTATTTTAATACCTACCGGGCATCAGCACTTGATTATGAAAAGTAGGCCTACATGACATGTTTTCTAGACATTGGTGGTGATTATCTGATCAAGTTTATGTATAATCATGTGTCCAAAATGCTAGAAGGACAAGTCCGCTTTTTCTTGCGATCGAGATCATTTCAGTTCTTAATGCAGTACAAAGTAGCCTCAATAAGTAAACTAAGTAAAGCATTTAAGTAAACCTCAAGGGCTTTCGGGGAGGTCTCTGTAAAAACAGCGGATTCTACTTTTTGGCATTCCAAAACATGCATCTGATTTTACGATATCTATTTATTCAGGTAGGGGCACTATTGCGTGAAGTACGTTCGGTACAATGTAGTCGGTGTGGCAGGTGTTTGCTTTCATATATCAATGTGCTGCTGCATTCTTATGCTTTGATGAGAGCTAAGTATCTATCCGAATCTGCCACCGTCCCTCTTTTGTAAGTGTGCTGCCTGCACGTGAGCTATTTAGATAGGGGTATGCATTTTCCGGAGCGTTCATTCAGGGAACAGGCTTTCCTTTTGTTTTAAGATTTTATAAAAACAAATCGTGCCATTTTAAAAGGCCTTTTGACGATCGGTCGAAGCGTCATGCAAAAGACAAAAACTTGTTTAATCCCTTTGAAAACAATTTATATTTCAATAGCAATAGTAAGTAGTTTTAAGAACTTTAAAGCCCTGTGTAGCAATTTGAACATTAGTTCACTCTTTACGTAAATATAATTTTTTTACTTACCTGTACATAATTATTGAATATAGCACATTGTTTTTATAGGGAAGAAATGTCTGCCTGGCAGCTCTATAAGAATTGGGAACGCGTCAATGGTCTTTCAGTATAGCCCAGCAAAGTCACACCAATCATCTTGGATGAGAGACTCTAAGCCAGCTAACCCCAGCGCTGCAGACCGAGTGTGGTTTTTTAAAGGATATCATGGAAACCGTGTGATCTCTGCATATGCAACTGTTGAAGACATGAAACGTGGTATACAGAGTTCGTCAATTACACTTCCCTACGACTGGGCCGGTACCGGACATGCTATGTACAAAGGGAATTTGTATTTTCAGCGTTCTGCAACTCAAAGAATTGTAAAATATGATATCCAGAAAATGGCGCTTGTGGCAGAAAATCACTTAAATGACGTAGACCATGGCGGCAGATGCGGCTATGGTTGGGGCGGTTACACCAACACTGATTTTGCCGTGGACGAGTTCGGACTGTGGTTAGTGTACGGGAACGTGACTGATAACTGTAACTTGGTCATCGCCAAGATCAACCCGGACACTCTCAACGTGCAGAATTCGTGGTCGACAACCATTCGAAGCAGGAGCGTTTGGAACACGTTCATGAAATGTGGCGTGCTTTACGCCACGAGTTACTACAGTGGAAGTTACATGTACATCCGCTACACCTATGACACCAACACTGGGAAACAAGAGACGCTTCCATCGAATAGGATCCAGTTCTGGCAACCTGGTACATATAATACCATGTTAGATTACAATCCTCGTGACGGTCTTCTGTATTATGCTGATGTTAGTTTCGGGTACATTGGCACGTTTCCAGTTGTCTAATCAGAGTAACAAGTGCGGCTTCAGAAAAGTAAAGGAAGCCAAGAAATAAATAGTAGAAACTATGGTGCTGGCGGAATCTCACTTTCTCCTACGGTGTGTGTGTGTGTGTGTGTGTGTGGGGGGGGGGGGGGGGGGGGAGAATGGGTGCATGTGTTTTGGGAGTAGATTGATAGGTGGGTCTGAGGGTTAAGATACTCATAGTCGAAATATTAGGATATAATTGAAGTCTTGTTTGCATAAAGACAAGTGCGACTCAAGTACATTCTTGTAAACTCCCCGTTGTTTGGATTGGTGACTTTGAATACATTGCCACACCGGCACATTTGTGGGAGGGGAGAGGGAAAGGGCGTAAGAGTCCTATCCATGCTAAAAAAGATGGATTTTTTAAGCGCTAAACAGAAAATTGGCAATTTTTTGTTTATAAAAAGAAGCAGCAGAGATTTGCATACGCACTTGTTGTGTGAAAATTGCAGACAATGAATATGTCAACTGAAAGCAGGCGATTCTCGATTTATTGGGCCTAATAAAAATCTTCGTTTATAAGTGTAACCTGGATGGTTAATTAGTTCTGAGCGAGTAGCAAACTTGAAAACACGGAAGACCTCAATTTGCCAAGTAGTAAGATACACGCACGCGGAACGTACTTTTTTTGGTGGACGCAAACACGACGCAAAGCACGCAGCCCGAAAACTGGCCAGTCAGTTTTTCGCTACGACCTGTCTGCGACAATTAGAACGCCTGGAGCACGCTCGTAACATGCAAAACAAAAGTACTGAGTAAGTGCGCTAGGCGTGCGTGTAACGCAGAAAAAGCATGCAGAAATTCCGGGGTTTTGTTACCAAGAAGACGTACTTACCATGCAATGGACTCGTACGTTCAACTTGCTTTCAATGTACGTGTTAACAAAAAGGGGGGTGAGCGCACTTCCTCCGTGCGTTTATCTTACTTTCAAAGTGCGTGGCGAGTAATACTACCGTACTTGTGAAGTGCGTCACACTAAGACGACGCACATGACCAGCACGATAAAAGTGCGTCACAAGTATTCTTCGATCTTCGGCCTCCTCTAGCATTAGCAGATGTAGAAGTCGATGGCGCATCCTTCTTGGAAGTGCCATTTTAGAAGCCAAAACAGTGAATGATGAAGAGACTCGGTGCTCCCTTTTATATTATTTTGATTATCCGTGCGTTCCACCAATTTGACGCACGAGTGTCGTGCCTAACCCTTCCGTGTTCATTACGTTTCTCTTATTTCTTAAGTACGATTTCTGAAAACGTACGCTTCACTTGCAATACACGTACGATTATTTTACTCACTGTGTGCGACACAAGTACAGATTGTACGTGCTCCTTACTTCTTCCTACTTCCAAAAAGGCGTACAGACCACTTGCGGGCCCCACGTTTAGAGCACGACACACCTAATTATATGTATTTATTGTCGTTTAACGGGTCAACGATGACGTGTCTTAGGAGAAAGGTTATTAGGAGGTACAGGGGGCGCTGTATTCAAAAGGTGAACAGATCACGTGAGGAAGGGAAACGATCATTCGAAGTCGAGCTACGCTAATGTACAGACATTCCAGTTTTCCTAAGCTTGAATTTCATATTTCAAACGTCTAGTATGCCAAAGGGTAGGAAATCACAAAAGATAGAGAAAGTGTTTGAGTCAGATTCTGAACATACTGGGAAAGAAATTGAGAGGCCTGAGGTGAGCGAACCTGAGTTGATACAGTCGGAGGGTGTAGCATCAAACAAAGAGGATAAAAACTACTCGACCGAGGAGTGGAGTGTTTGTGCGGATTCTGAACATACTGAGAAAGAACTTGAGAAGCCTGAGGTGAGCAAACCTGAGCTGATACAGTCGGATGCGGAGGGTGTGGCATCAAACAAAGAGGCTAAAAACTACTCGGCCGAGGAGAGCGGAGAGCTTGAAAATGAAGGGAGTGGCCGAGAAATATCAGATGAAGTTGGCTCAAATCTTGCTGATACTTTCAATTTGTTTAAATCCTATATGGATCAAAAGTTTAAAGGATTAAAAAGAGAACTGTCCGAGAAAATATAGCAGAGAGCAAAAAATTGAGGTCATCCCATGACATTGAATTCAAGTTTAAAGGAAACAGAAAGCACTTGACAATCTTGAGCTTGCAGAGAGTTACTTTTAGAAAAGGGGAAGTGAAGTCTCTTAGACAGTTACTGAAAAGGTCCATAGATCAAATCAAGAAACGTAACAAGCTTATAAGATTGGCGGACAAATCGGATACTGGTTGGGAAGCTGTGGAAGAATATCAAACCGATGAACTTGCAGATGATAGTGAAGATGAAAAGGAAATTCGTTCAGCCCAGATAAGAGCAAATAGAAAATTGCGCCAGAAAAAACAGAAACGCAACAATGTCGGTCAACGTAGATCTGGTGTTTATAATAGCTATTTCAATATGCCTGCTCAATATACAGCCTCAGCCAATTTTTCAGGTTCAGGGTCATTCAAAAGGCTTTTTCGAGCCAAAAGAAGTCAACCGTCCAAGCATGACCAGTGTTTTGGATGCAGACAATACGGTCACTGGCGAGCAGAATGCTACAAATTTAAACAGCAAAAGCAGTCATATTTTCAAAACAGCACGCAACCAAACCCAAGCTACTACAGCTACGCACAGGTCGGCAGTCAATAAGAAAGATACAACTCTAAAAGATAAGTATAATAGCGACAATGTGAAAGGTAGATTGAAGAAGAATGTAGCTTTTTTGGGAAAGTATTCATGCCAATACGTATGTATTAGATGTAATAAAACAAGGATATGTTATTCCTTTTATAAATACACCACCAAAAATGATCATGAAAAACAACAAGTCTGCATTAGACAATAATGTAGAAGAATCAATATTAGATTTGTTAAAATCAGGTCGTATCAAAGAATTTAACGGGATACCACAAGTTGTTAATCCTTTGACGGTGGCAATAAATGGGAAAAAGAAACGTTTGGTTTTAGATTTGAGATGCGTAAATATAAAATACAACAGAACATATTTCCATGCGTTGTTTACAATGTATTTCTTGCTGAATTTTTAATCTCAAAGGAAGAGTTATTATTGCTTTAAGGTGTTTGGTTAAACACTGGAGAGCATGGTATATACCTATAGTGTTGTATTTGGATGATGGCTTTGGATTTAGTGATGATTTTGAGCTGTGCGTTAAAATATTCAGACAAAATGAGGGGAGATTTGAAAAAATCGGGTTTCGTAGTAAACAATGAAAAGAGTATATGGAGACCAGTTCAAGAGATTGATTGGTTAGGTATTCATTGGAATTTGATACAGGGTATGATATCAATCACAGAAAAAAGGGTTTCAGAATTGAAAATTGATATTAGAAAACTAATGCAAAATATTAATATGACATCAGCACGTGCGTGAATTGGCTTGAATTACAGGAAAAATTATATCAATGTCAACAGTTATTGGAGATATTAGTAGATTAATGACAAGAAATATGTATCACTCAATCAATGATAGAAACAGTTGGGACGAATGCAAAAATTTTCGTTCAAATACAGAAATTCTGAATGAGTTACATTTTTGGTTGTCAAACATTCATCGTCTATAATAAAAGACATTTATTTTTAAATGAAATACCCAAAATCTTAGGATTTTCAGATGCTAGTGATTATGCATATATTGTGCCTATTTGGTGCGTTGTTAATCTGACATTTGTCACAAAATGTGGTCAGATGAAGAAAAGGGGAAAAGTTCGACATGGAGGGAGTTGAAGGCAATTGCAATTGCATTACAAGCTTTTCTTATAGTTATAAAAAGAGGTAAAATAGGTTGGTACACAGATAATCAAAATGTCGTGAGGATTGTACAGGCAGGATCTATGAAACGTGATTTACAAAATTTAGCTTTACAAATATATCATTTCTGTACACGTCATGAAATCAGTTTGACAGTTAACTGGATACCTAGATCAAAAAATGAAAAAGCAGATTATATCAGCAAATTGGTAGACATAGACGACTGGGAAGTAGAATCTTCTTTTTTTCGGATTTTTGGATAAAAATGGGGACCTCACACTATAGATAGATTTTGAAAATACAAAGACAAACCATTTTAATTCAAGATTTTGGAATCCAAATACAGAGGCAACAGACACATTTTTACAAAATTGGAAGCATGAGAATAATTGGATAGTTCCACCTGTAGGTTTGGTACCAAAGGCAATAAACCATTTATTAAATTGTAAAGCAAAAGGCACTTTAGTCAGTCCAAGTTAGAAGTCGGCTGCATTTTGGCCAAGATATTTGACAGAGATATGAAGTGGAAAATTTACATGAAAGATGTTCTTATTTTCGGTAACAAGGGTATTTTTAAGCAAGGGAAAAATAAGCAATCTTACATAGGGTTGCAGAAATTTAAGGATAAAGTTTTGGCAGTCAGGATTGACAGGGAGACAGGATTTTAATACAAGGATATTTTCTAAAAACCAAGGTTATATTTCAAGGCGTGATGGGATGCTGTATTTTTGTGAAGGTTGTAAGTCAGAATTTAAAAGGTAACAAATATTATAAAGGATGAAATATGTATTTGAGAGGAGTGATGGGATGGTGTAATTGAATGTCGTGATGGGATGAGTGTATTTTTACCTGTCAGAATTGACAATATAACAAATGTTATACAGAATTGAAAATTAGAAAATTATAATTGAAAGGTGAGATGGGATGAAGGGGTATTTTTATGCAAGTTGCCAGTCAGGATTGACACTGCAACAATCATTATAATAATTAAAAATTTATATGTATAAGACGTGATGGGATGACGTATTTTTATGAAGGTTGCGAGTCAGGATTGACACTGCAACAAATGTTATACAGAAATAAAATATATATATTTGAAAGTTTTTATGGCATGTTGGTGTATTTTTATGAAGGTTGCCAGTCAGGATTGACAATGCAACAAATGTTATACAGAATTGAAATATATATTTGAAAGTTGTTATGGAATGAAGATGTA